TATGATAAGAAAAAATTCTTCTTTGATACTTTTCCAAAAACACAATAATTATGAATAGAATGATTAGTATTTTTTAAAAATCTTAGAATGTAGTATTTTTTGCTTAGAAACTACGGTAGCATCCATTCATTCATCTTAGGTTGTTCTAACATAATTAATTAATGTAAGATTATACTTTTATTTAAATTAATTATCAATTCGTAATAATTTAAGCGCAAAAAATAATTTCTTGTTGAAAACAGCAAAAAGCTATCCCAAAAAGTTTCATTTTCATTTAATTTTAAGGAAATTTGTTTTATTTTAAACGAAAAACAAGCTGTGTACGCACAAAAGGAGTAATAAAGATACAAGCAACATAAAACCGAATGAACTAGAATATGCAGATAAATATTTTTTCTCTACTACAAAGTGCATTGATTGATTAAATTTTTTAACCTCATTTAATTTGCTTTTCATAATTTCTAGTTAACTTGGAGATAATTGAAAACATAGATAGTAAATGAATCTTGACTCACGAAAAAATTTGTCTTATTTTGTGACATGTAAATATTCTTGGCGAGTATCTAGTTACTATCTTGATAAGATATCTATTAGTGCAATCTATAAGTGTTCTATATAAACATACTTTCACGGTAATGTACAATACAATATACAATACAAGTAATCGATAGACAACTTTGAAAGCTCAGTTCATTTTTGGCAACATGCCAGCATACATTAGAGTTTTTTTAGTTTTTTTTATTAATTGGATTTTTTTATTTATTGGATTAAGCTATGCTAGTCAAAATTCCATTTCAAAATCCAAAATAATAGATATTGCGTAAGTTTTATTAAAAATATTTAAGATTACTGCATGACTCCTTTGACAAAGAAACGTAATTATCGTTATGTTACAATGTTGAAATAAATTATATTGTACAGTCTAGCATGTTTCTTCGTTGGAGGCTTCTTATGAATATTAAATTTGCGAAAAATCATTCAGAAGTAGGAACTATTTTTTTTTTGGCGTCTTTTACGACTGGACGTTTACTACGCCCTCAGTAAAAAAATAGAGTTAGAACCGGGTTGCAGCTAGCTAGGGCAAGTACAAGGAGTCTTTCAGACCTGGTGCTTTTTATGGTGACATAAACCGCCAAGTACAAAAACTATTTTTCATCACGCAATCAAAATAGTTTTGTTTGTTGGGATTTTTTAACAGAAATATAATGCTCTTATTAAAATTATTCAGTTGTACAAAATTCCTATTAATTGATTTTTTTTTGTTTTTAGCCAAGATGCACTTTCCACGTTATGTCTAAATAATATGATTGATCGTAATATGGGACTCATCCGAAAAACTTTAGCTACTTCTGAGCCAGTTAAATTACCTGACATTAATCAAACTGTGACTGTTGTAAGTATTAAAGAAATTTTCAAATTCTGAAAACAATCATTTAATTCTATAAATAATATCTTTTACGCTCTGCTAACAGTACTCCTATTACTTTACCAATGGTAGTATGACTAAAATCTCAGAAATATTTCGTGCTGACAATAATTCAGCCTTCTATTCTGATGACACATTAACTATTGATTTAAATTTTGGCTGGAATAATGTTCAAGTAAGTTTATCATTGCTTGAAAATAAAGTAAATGTTCATACATACAAACATTTATACACATTTGTATACACTTGTTAAAGTTTGTAAACTTATAGAATACTTTTAAAGAAATATTTTATAATATGTATTTTTTTGATGATAACTATAAATGCAGTTATTTTGCAAAGTGACGTGGTTACATAATTTATACCTCTGGTTTATTAAACTTTTTTAGTTACTGTATTTTACCATGTTTAAATTTTTTGTGGAACCCTAAGTGACTGGTGATATCTCATTTTCCATTAATCAAGCTAACAATATTTTTAGATGGATTATGATATTTACTGGAGAATATTGTTTGTTCCTTGCACAGGTGTTTTCATGACCCAATTTCATGATTTAAAAATTCACTTATCTATGGATGTAAATTTTAAAAACTATGTAATAGCACTAAAAACCTTTGAGTTCTATGAATTAAGGTAAAAAATGCACTGCTTAATTTTTGTTTCTATTCGCTCTTTTACTAAATTTTGTTATATTTTTATTCATTGTAGTAGCATCAGTACAAGTATAAATTGCAGTACCATTTGTATACCTAGTAGTAAACTAGTCATTGCTTATACTGAAACAATGAAAGATGACATACTTGCAATCATGCAAGTAGAAGTTACTCGAGAAATAGAAAAAGTTGTGGAAAACGTTAACATTTTGTTAGGAAATGAACCTAGTAAAAAATTCAGATTTGTTTAAGAAATGAAATCAGACAGTATTCAGTCACGAATAGCTGCTAGGATTTAAGCTATTCAATATCATTTGGTGCTTTCATGTTCTCATGAATTTTTCGATGCAATGAAATTTAACTGTATTTAAGTTTAAAATTAAGCAGCTATCAATAACGTATNATTCATCCTAAATGACCTGGGGGGCCTACTGTTTAATGTTTGAATAAATAAATAATCCCGTGCGCTCTGCTGTTTATCAGTGCATCTTTGTTGTAAAAATTTTCAACTTCTGTTAATGCAATAAGCTTGAGATATAATACCTAAATGTTATTACATTAGTCTTTATTTCGATAGATACGCTTAGTACACAAGTAAATTTCTAAAAACATTACTTTTGAACGATAAACTCTTAATTCTATCATCAACTGAAATATTTTCTAAGATATCTGTTTCTGATACCATTAACAAATAAATAATCCCGTGCGCTGTTTATCAGTGCATCTTTGTTGTAAGAATTTTCAACTTCTGTTAATGCAATAAGCTTGAGATATAATACCTAAATGTTATTACATTAGTATTTATTTCGATAAATACGCTTAGTACACAAGTAAATTTCTAAAAACATTACTTTTTAACGATAAACTCTTGGTTATATCATCAACTGAAATATTTTCTAAAATATCTTTTTCTGATACCATTAACATGAATGCTTCTAACTTTTCTTGACTCATAGAATTTTTTAAACGATTTGTGATCTCAAAGAACGAGATGAGAGAAGTATAATTGTCTGATTAATCGATACATACACAAGTATGTTGCATTATCTATGCTAAAGTAAGCTGTCGTATTTTCTTTTCAAAGATTTAAAATTTTGTTATTAAAAAAAAAAGTGTGTTATAAATTAGATGTCTGAATAATCTATTCAACAAAGATTTGTTATTTTTACTTAATATTCTTGAACGTACATCATTGACTCCATTATTCAGGGATGTTTGGTAATTTTATTTCTCCTTCCCTAATTTCTAACAGTAATTTAATAATTTTTTATCAGCCGAAGTAATGTTTGTATTTAATTTTAAAATGTCAAAAGATCTCTGAAAAATAATTACTTTATATTTTCTGATACAACCACCTTTCTATAACTGTTATTTATTACAGCAAGATACCTCGTGATATTATTTATTTCCAAAATGTATGCACTGCATAAATCATGCAAAGTCCTATATATCTACCATTTCACAAGCTTTTTTTGAAATCATAGAGGTCTCATCCTAAGTTATCAAATCGATTCCAAGTGATTTTTTTCAGATTCAAACTTAAAAAATATACTAATTTTTAAATCCAAAGGTGAGCAAACAGGTCTATGACTGGTATTGACTAGAAATGCTTTGACGTACGGTTTTAAAAATATATATTTTTTTTATCAAGCATCGAATACACTGAATCAAACATTAAATAATTACATAATGCAATTTTTTCTGTGATATCATAGCCTTGTAAGACTTTACAAGATTTATCTTTAAATTCAAAATTTCATTAATGTGCAGAAGAGCATGGTTTTCTTTATTATGAATAAAATCTTCAACAAAATAAATTTTTATACTTCATCTGAATTTCATTCTCTTGTATACTTTCTGATATAACGAAATATGCAAAAAATTGCCTTAATTAATAAGGAAGCAAAACAGTATTAGTTCCTCGGAAAATATCATTTATTTATAAATCATGATCGATTACTCATATAGCAATTGCGGTATCTTTAAATGTTTCATATTCTATCTCTTTGTATGACTTTAATTGTTGTCTTTGTATGACTTTGATTGTTATTTTTATGCTTCGCCCAGATGCGTAAGTGCCCCCTCCTCTCATCTCTTCGAGAGCGAGTCGGCCTCCGAAATTCTCCGTTATTTTCCTTCTTCTTTCTCCTCTTATGCCCTTTTGTCTTCTAGGGGAGTGGTCCTTACGGACCTGTCCCATGCGGGGAGGTTAGTTTTTAGTC